CTGCAATACAGTTGACTTTAGTTACTTCTGATCTTTCCTTTTAAATGTTTCATAAGAGATACCTTTTGCTGCACTTGATTTGATATTTGGAGTAAAAGGTTCTAAAGAGGTTTTATGTCTTTCTGTTCTTATTTGTTCAAGATACTTTTCTCTGCTCAGGTAGCACAAAACAACACATCTGTAATACCAGAAAACGCCCTGCAAAGCGTGGCTGTCTGCCCTGTAACTCCCTCAGGAAAACTGCATTGTTGGTTCTTCAAGTCTGGTTTTGGAAATAAGTGAAAGAGGGAATGATTCTGATAGCTGTCAATCATTTCATGTTGGTACCCTGTCAGGCACTGTAGATATATTTCTCCAGTCCTTCAGGCAGCCCTGAGATGGGCATTATTCCCATTTTACATAAAGGAGAATTGAAGGGTTAAGCAGACTAGGTAACGTCAAGCAGAAAGTGGTTGACTTACTCCTGTGTGGTTTTAAAGTCCACACGCCGGAGCACAAGCATTCTCTGTATGTCTCCACTTCATGATCTGCTACATGCCTTTACGTTTGAACAAGAAAGGGCTATTTACCAATTTCCTAGGCATTTATACGTGGGAACTCTCATTCACAGCTGGTGAGATGATAATTGGTATAAGCACTTTGGGACAAGATTTGACAGTAACTTGCAAAGTTAAAGAGCCAGTCACTCCACACGTAAGTGGAATCATGTAGGGTTTGTCCTGGGACTTGCTTGTTTTACTTATGATAATGTCCCTCAGGTTCACTGTGTTTCACATGGGACAGGATTTCCTTATTGTTTAAAGGTTGAATAATATTCTCTTGTACGTATATATTGCACTTTCTTTATCCATCCATCCATCCCTCCATCGATGGACATTTAGGTTGTTTCCATGTTTGCCTATTATTAATAAAGTTGCAAAAATAATCTAACTCATAGAAACAGAATAGCATGGTAGTTGCCAGGGGCTGAGGGAAGAGGGAATGAGGAGTTGCTGTTTAATGGGTATAAAGTTTCATTTATGCAGGATTAATATGTTCTAGAGACATGCTGTACAACCTTGTGCCTTTAGTTAACAATACTGTATTATACACATAAAAATGTAAGATGGTAGATCTCATAAGTTTTTTCAATCTTTTTTATTGAAATATAGTTGACTTACAATACCATAAGTGTTCTTAATGCACACACACGCATGCATACACACACATGCAGAAGCAAATACTCCATGACTTACCGATTCCATTCCTTGGCTAAACGTGCTTGAACATCTGTCCAAGATAAGCTTTTACACCAGGACACATGCTTAAGAATGTTCAGCCTTATTCTCAATAACCCCGAACTGAAAACCGTTGCATGTCCATCACCAGCTGAATAGGTAAATCCAATTTTGATCTAGATCATACAGTGGAATACAATATAGCCGTGAAAATACATGACCCATGCATGTGTAACTACATGGATAAGCCTAATAAACTTTAGATTTAGACTGAGTAAGAACTAGACACTGTAATAGTATTTGTAAAGTTCAAAGTCGAGCAAAACTAAACTCTTTTCATGGGGTTTAAGAAATTGGCAGAACTATAAAGAAATGCAAGGAAATAATCGTCACAAGAATCACGATGATGTTTTCAGAGGGGAGGGATGGCAGGAGGCTGTCTCAGCGTCCCATTTCCTACTCTGCATGGTGGCTTTATGGGCTTCACGTAAGTTTTCCAGAACCAAAAAAAAATGTATGTTTTATGAACTTTCAGATCTAACTCACAGTACAGAGGAGCAAAAAATCCAGCTTGCTTCCTTCCAGCCCTATTAATAGAAACACATCATAAATATGCAAACATGTGGAACAGTTACTTCTCAGCCTCCTCTGTTCTTAGCTCTGTTTTGCCCGTAATGCACCGGCATTTGAAAACAACTGTTGAGTGTGCAGTGTACCTCCAACCTTGCTGGGGGAGATGAATAAAGGCCACAGGCTGAAACAGCTGCTCCCCCCTTCTGGACTACAGGTAGTTCAGTACCAGAGCTAAATTATGACAGGCAGTGGAATCCCCTGTGCAGATACAACTTTTTTTCCTATTATTTATCTATTAGCTTTTCTTTTGATGACTGTTTCTTTGTCATTGTCACATATGCACATAAAATGTCTCCCTTGCTAAGTATTAAGATGTTCCTTGAAGAGAAGGACAAGTGACGATTAAGGTTACGAGCCCGCCGCCATTGCCGACTGTAATTCTTTCTCAGTTACTGCCGGAGAGATTCGTTTAACTTCTTGGGACAATTCTTTAGAAGGCGGTAGACCAGGACTGACCAGGAATCATACATTTTTATTTCTGCTCTGATGTTTCAGAGTGGAACACATCATAGAAAAATGAAGACCTTTCCTGAGAAATAGGAAGTTGCAATTACTGATCTTAATTTAGTAATTTCAGAAAAGCCACCTTCCATCAAAACACGTTCAAAGCTGCCCCTCCACACAGGAGAGCTTACCGGCCTCGTTGAATGTGTTTGTATTATTTTCTTGGCTGTGGAATTTGATACAAAATTCTTTCTGAAAAAATCTCATGGCCCTGACTTTTCCCCTCTCTGGGGAATGAAATTATTTTTAGAGATTCTTTTACTCAAAACCACGAAGAATGACACAAAATCAGAGGGAAAGTGTTAGAATATTGAAGATCTGTCTCGGAATGCCTGCATTGTCCTCATCCTGTCTCTCCCTCTTAGCTCCCCTTTTACTCACCCCAGGAGCGGACTCTGGAGGCATTGCTTCTGCCTTGTATGCGCCAAGATCCTCAGTCTCAGATATCCTTTCAGTGGGATTTTCTGATATTCTTCTGTATAGCTGCATCAACAAAACAGAGAGTGTTGGGAACATGCTGGGGAGGGAGAGCCAGGAGAAAGGGGCTGGGTTAGTGGCTGTTCAGAGCTGGAGGAGGTGACCCGTGCGCTTGTAAAACAGACTTTCTGCACCATGTTTTACCACTGAGGGTACAGAAGACAAGTGGGGCTTCCTCTGCCGCGTTTATAGTTCAACATCCATTTATTTCCAGTATCATTGAACTCCTGGGACATGCCAGTCACTGGGCCATGCAGCCGGTGTGCATTCGATGGCAATGCAGTGGCGAACAGCCCAGACTCTGGTCATGTCTTCCTGCAGTTTCCAGGCTTGGGAACTGGTTTGAAATCCCCGGACAGGAGCTCAGGGTCTAGAGGAAGGGTCACCCAACATGTGGTCACCGGGTCAGATGTCCTTCTGACTGAAAGTCAATTTCTTCCTGTAACAACATCATTTCCCCTTGAACTTTATTTGCCTGATATTGCTACCTTGACACCAGCCCGCTTTTGTTTAGCGTTTGTCACTTTTTTGGTATCCATTTATTTCAGGTTCCCTGGTCATTTTGCTTTGTTAGCGTCTCTTGTGAGCAGCAGAGAGCTCGATTTAAAAAAAATCTGATCTGATAGTCTACTTGAATTTGCTAAAATTTAATTACTTTGCACTTGATCAATAATGTCTTTGGGCGGCTTTCATACCTCTGGGTATCTTATTTTGTTATTTTCTTTCTTTGGTGTAACTTTTTTTCTTTTCCCTCCACTTCTTTCTTGCTTTCTGTTAGATTGATGGAGTTTATATTTTCTCCCCTTTTTCCTTTTCTTCCCCTGGTTTAGAAGCTATAGATCATATTTCTCTTCTTCAGCAATTGCCCTTATGTTCTTGTCATATATTTTAACTACATACTCTTTTCTTACAAAGATATTAAATATTTCTTTCTTTCTCTCATGGGAGAAAAATACCCTCAAATGCTTTAATTAGATATTTCTACCTCTAATCTTTTTTTAGAATAGTTGTCTAGAACCATAGTTCTCTGTTTATTCTTTAAATTACTTGTGTGAATTATGCTGTATCACATTTTTTTAAACTGAAAACTCAGTTCCTAAAAAATTGTTTTTCAGTTATTAATTATATTTCTTAATGTATTTTACCTCTTGTTCTGCTTGCTTTTACTCCTTGCATCTTGCTTCTCTCTGGATTTACTTTTCTTCCTGCCTGGGATCATAAAAAAAAAAATTCATCTAGAAAATGATAAAGCTCAGGCAGAGGAAGGAGGAAGAAGAAGGCTCAGGGAGGAAGGGGTCTTAAGACACTTTAGATCCTAGGTGCAACTGAAGTTCACGTAATAGTTAAAATAATAACTGAAATGTAGAATTAAACGTGAACATTAGTGTCTGATTTTAGAATATTGTAATTTTTATAGATCAGGTAATATTTTCAGGACAGTTTAGAGCATCTGATTGCTTATTCTTGTCTCTTTGCAGGTAATTTAAATTTTTCCTATTCTGGACAGAGAGAAATTGAAATGTGGTGACGATTAAGAAATATAGTTTAAGTCAATAGTCAAAAAAAAAAAGAATTTGAGTTTAAGAATTTAGACGTTTAGCTGTTCTCCCTTAAGGCAGAAATACTCTTCTTTGCTGATCAGTCGTGGAAAAACATCTGTTGGTAGGCGTTATCCTATCCACACATCTGTTGCTGGGGCATACGTGGTTTTATTTCATAATAATCTTTGCAAATACTTGATTAGAGGTGGAGGTGGGAGTGGGGGTTGGAGGAACTGGAGAAGGGATGCTCTTTGTAAAGATTTAGGTAAATATTAACTGCAGTAGGTATTTTGTTGATTAAAGGATTTCAATGATTCAGTGCTTTCAGTTTTGCAGTGTTTCAGTTCTTCAGTGTTTATTAAAAAATATTTCCAAAATTAAACACACCATGAAGTTGCCTTTTCATTTTTTGGTAGATTTGTAACCAAATTATTGGAAGACCTCATCTTCTTTGTTGCTGATGTACTTAACAACGGACAGGAGGTTCTGGATGTGGTTATCACGAAGCCAAACCGAGAACGTCAGAAATTAATGAGGGAACAAAACATATTGGCACAGGTGAATGTTTCCGTGTACTAAATTTTCATATTTTATCTGAGTTGTGGTATCAGCAAAGTCCTTGTATTAGTTGTCTATTGCTGTGTAACAAGTTAGCCCTAAACTTAGCATTTGAAAACAGCAGGTACTTAAAGTGCCTTTGGATTAGGAATCTGGGTGGTTTAGGTGGGAAGTTCTTGCTCAGGGTGTTTCACAGGCTATAGTCAAGATGTTGGCTGGGTTGCAGTCATCGCAAGGCTGGAATGGGAGAAGATTCACTTCCCAGCTCCCTGGCCTGGGCCTTTCCACAGGGCTGCCTCAACGCCTGGAGCTTACTATCCTTAGAAGTGAGGGATCTAAGAGAGAACAAGAGAGGGCACTCAGATGGAGGCCACAGTCTTTTTGTAACTTAATCTTAGGAGTAGCATCTCACCAGTTCTACTGTATTCTGTTAGTTAGAAGTGAGTCAATAATCCAGCCCACAGTCAAGGAGACAGGATTTCATAAGAGTGTGAATTCCAGGAGGCAGAGTTCATTGGGCCCCATCTGGAAGACAGTCTACCAATGACCTCTAAAGACCCTCCATGGTCAGACTATCTCCAGAAAATGTGCCGGAATAATACTGTAGGAAGAATTTCCAGGGAAACTGGGAAACTGCCAGCTCCATCTGCTTTCTACTTCTTCCCCTTTCTTCCCAAGGAAAATGGGACAGTCAGTTCATCAGCTCACAAGTGCTCTATACAGTATTCTGGGTTTTTCCCCTGAAAGTCTAGAGCTGCTCCTTTATACTGTGTCTTCCCAAAATTGTTCATAACATGCCAGTAAATTAATTCACTTCCTAATAATATACACATATGGACATGCCTACTTTTATGCATTCTTTTTATTCTCTTAATTACTATATAAAGTAATGGGCTTCTGCATTAATTGTGGACTGAAGGAAGATACTTAAAAAATAAAAATTATGTTATTAATACCAATGTTCTTATGGAGCTGGGAAAGGAAAACAGTAGATATATTGTCCATTAATATTCTATTGCTGATTGTCTGAGTATATAAAATCAACCATTTTCTCAAAGAAAATAAAGGTTGCAAACCTTATGAGACAAAGTCTTTCCTGACATTAGCATTGCTTTTGTATAAAACATTTGATTTCAAGGACTTTAAGGACCTTGAATGATTTATTCATATTATTTCAACCAACATATGTCAAACATTTTATTTCAATGTGATAAATACAAAATTCAAGGTTTTGTGAATATAGAATTATTGAAGAAACTCTAATTCATCTTATGCTTCATGAACTATGAAGGAGCAGTTCCCTCCATTTGGCTCTCGTGTGTGAATCCTCATGCCTTGGTCTAGGTGCTTTGTCATAAGCATCCTATGAGCTCATCTCCAGGTGATCCTACCTGCTGTCTTTCTGCCTAAAAGAGTTATGTTCCTCAGTACTTTTGACATACTTCCCAAATGCTAATCTTCTTACAAGAAGAATCTGAGTCACTGGGTGTCAGCAGCTGCCCATCTGGCCCCCTACTTGTTTTGAATGATGGTACATTCATTGATTTGGCCACATCTTTATGTACAGGGACAATGAATTAACTCTTTAATGAAGAGGTTTAGAAGCAATATTTGAAGACAGGTTTTTTTGTGTTTTTCTGTCAGTGTCAGATGAAAAATAAATGTTTTCCTTATATTACTATTTTTTTATTGACATATAGTCCGTTCACAATGTTGTCAGTTTCTGGTGTACAGTACAATATTGTTGTCATACACATGCATGCATATATTCCTTTTCATATTCTTTGCCAACATAGGCCTCCGCGAGACATTGAATACAGATCCCCCTGTGCTATATAGCAGAAACCCGTTGTCCATCCATTTCATACGTTGTCAAAATCAAATTTTATATATTGTCAAAATCAAACTATATTTTAGTTTATCTGCATATTTCATGTAAAGTGGTACAATGTAACATCATTACATTTTTTTCCTTTAATAAAATATAATTTCTAGACAAAATTAAGCATTTTATTTAGATAATGTTTTTGTCATTCAATTTAGGGAACCCTTTTAGCAGTATTTTTCTGTTCCTTAATATATTGGTCTTATATCCTACATCTTTCTTTTTAACTTTAATTCTACTCAAATATTACAAAAGTGTTTTTGAGTCAGTGTGCTTGTTTGTTAAAAAAAAAATCAAAACTTTGCAAAACATGCCCCTCCATTCATCAGAATAAGTGGATTTCTTGTTTTCTTTGTGTGTGTGTGTTTGTGTGTGTTGTTTTCCTGATAGGTATTTGGGATTCTTAAAGCACCCTTTAAGGAGAAAGCGGGAGAAGGCTCAATGCTGAGGCTTGAAGATCTGGGAGATCAAAGATATGCTCCCTACAAGTACATGCTGAGACTGTGCTACCGTGTGCTGAGACACTCGCAGCAGGACTACCGGAAAAACCAGGTTGGGGGAGCGCTCATTTTCACCTCTGTTTAGCATTTACAGGATGGGCAAGTTTCCGTGGTCACTGTTCTGAAACATACAGAAGAAGAAAGGGAAATTCTGCTTTGTAGTGAAATGTGTTATGTTGGCAACACACAAAAATGACCTGTAAATGTCCTTGGGCAGACATCTGTATGTATTCTTCCACGTAAAACTAGAATCATTGGATGAGGATGTCTTAAGTCCTTCTGTGTGTGTGGTATTAGCTCCCGCTGGGCAGGAGGTGTGCGGGATATATTATGTAAAGAGGAAGGAGGCCTTTCTTGGCATTTCTAGGAACACATGAGGTACCACATCATCATGTGTAGGCCAGAGAGGTTATTTTCTCGTGGAAAAGGTACGATGTGTGCATCTGAAATGTAAGGTGGAGGCGTAGGGCGTACATGAGTTCTAAAACTTCTTCTTTCCAATGGAAAATGCTGTCATTGGAAAGATTTTCCCCAACTTCACTGCATTCCTTTAAGGTGGCAAGATATCATAGGTAGAGCTGTTCTTGTTTTATTGGAAGAAAAATTAAATTCCAGAATGTTAAAGGACAGACCTTTATGTGCTCAGAGGACCAGCGTCGAGAGCCCCTAATACCAGGGCCCACGTTATTCAGGGGGGCCCAGCAGTGGGGGCAGGGCTAATGGTCACTCAGTGTTCTCTGCGTGGCCTCACTCATCCTCTTGGAGGCCACCACTCCACACAACATGCTCAGTATTCTACAAGAGAGGTTGAATTAACTGAGAAAACCGACAGGTCTACAGAGTTTACCTGGTGCCCTCAGGCCCACCGGGTCCCCCAGTGCACATGTCCTCGACTGTGCTCAGCCTTTGCAGGGTCCCATGGGTCTGCTTCCTACGGCAGAGTCCTGTGCTTCAGCACCAGATCTCCTTGGGGGCTGGCTGTTCTGCTGGTCTCTAGATGCAACCATGTGCAGGCAGGTGTGTCCACGGCAGCACATCTTTTTTTTTCCCCATAACATTTTTAATTAAAATGTCTGTTGCAATAACTGTAGATTTACATGTAGTCATAAGAAATAATACAGAGTGTGTCTTTATACTTTATCCAGTTTCCTCTGATGGTAACAAGTTGCCAAATTATAGTATAATATTACAGCGAGGTAATTGACATGGCTGCAATACACGATCTTACTCACATTTCCCTAGGTTTACTGATACACATTTGTTTGCATGAATACATGTGTATGAAGTGCTATACAATTTTATCATCTGTGTAGGTTTATGTATCTGCTACCAGAGTCAAGATACTGAATATTCCAGCAATTCAAGGATCCCCCTCACGCAGCCCCTTTAAACCACATCCACCTCCTTCCTGCCCTACCCCACCGCCAGCCCCAGGTCCCTTCCCCAAGGTAGCACGTCTTAACTGGTGTCCTTTCTCATCCCCTCAAGGTCTGGCACAAAGTTCTTTCTCACTCCTCTCTGTCCAAGTTGGGGACTCACATGCCTGGTGTGCTCAGGGGTGTGTGTGGTCTCTCCTATGAAAACACTCTTCCTTCTGACAAGTAGACACACTCACACGCACACACGCACACACGTATGTTCCTCCTCGATAATTTCTCCTCTCTTTTGCTCTCAGTTCGCCCCACCTAGGCACATCACTTCTCCGGGTAAATGTTTATTCACTTTGGGGGACCCGCTTTCTGGTTTCTTTAGAGCATGTGATGGTCGGTGGGCAACTCCTCTCTTTGAGGATGTCTCCCCACGAGGTAGAGCATTGAACTTACAAGAGAATAAAGCATCTCCAACATTCACTGAGGGGTAGATCGTATTTTCCTTCACATTCTCTGCCTGCTCCCATCGAATCTCACTGATAGTCGAGAAATGTTTTTATCATTTCTGTTGTGTTAAGAATGCTTTGTGTTTAATGAACTTATCTACGGAACAGAAACAGACTCACAGCCATAGAGAACAAACTTATGGTTACCAGGCGTTAAAGGGCATGGGAAGGGATAAATTGGGAATTTGAAACTTGCACCTCTTGGGGAGTGATGGAAATGTTAGCTATCTTGATTGTGGTAGTGGTACCATGGGTGTACACATCTATCAATATTCATCAAAGTGTACATCTGCAATATGTGTAGTTTACTGTACAGGAACCAAACCACAATAAAGGTGTTAAAAAAGAGAGAATGCTTTGTGCTAACACAATGTAGATTTTTGATGTTTCTAGATCATGATTTTTATATAAAAGCAGAAAGACTTTCTACTTTATCCTCACCTATGTTTTATAGAGTCCTAGTAGGGAATTCTTTGGTGATTTAGCGCTAACCTGAGACTTTAATGTTGAGCCTCTAACTACATTTGATTATTTAGCAACGTCTTGATCTATTAGCAAACACGTCTTGGAGGTTTTTACAACAGTGGTAAACATGTATAAATCAATACATATCTTTAAAAAGATACAATAACAGCAAACATTTACTTTACTTAACTGGCTACTGATAAACAAAGCCATCATTTTGAAGAAGGCCAACAAAATTGCTGCCTAAAGTATAATTAGGTTTTGTAACCAATATCAATTTCAAGCAATAGATAGATTCCAGTGAATTCTACTGAAGGCAAAACCGCTTTCTGATCAATAAATTCTCCCATCATAGAAACAGAGACAAATTCCCCAGGAGAAATCCCCAAGAAATTGAGGTGAAACTGCTGGACTGTGGAAGGGGTTAAGCTCACTGTGCTGTGGTTTCTGAGATGTGGGAAAGGGTTATGGTGGCTGGTATGTAGGAGAGCCAGTGTGGAGAGTGAGGAGCAGGTGGGATAAGGCGTGATCGAGGGTCCCCGGTGGCTTTCTCTGGCTTTTAGAATGGTTGTTTCTGGTTTTCGCCGTGGCTCAGAGGACCCAGCTCTCCCACATCCTCTGTGGCTTTCTCCTCACTCCCTGCCCTCGCGCTGCAAGGGCCACCTCGTGTTTACATAGCTTACAAGGCTGAGTTCCACCACCCCACGGCCTTCGCCCTTGCTGTCCCCACTGCCTTGATGGCTTCTCTCCCCACAATTGCCTCCTCCTGATCATTTCCATCATTTTGTCATTTTCACCATTTCCATCCTAAGTCAAAGGTCACCTCTTTGGCGTTTACCCCATCTGAAGTTGCCACCTTTCCCCCACCCTCTGTTAGTTTCATTTCACTTACCAACGTGTAAAACGATCACGTTTATTTCCTCACTAGGGTGTAACCTCCATCAGAGCTTACCTGTCCTGTTTAGTGCCATATCCCTCATCTCTCAGACAGTGCCTGGAATGGCTTTCCAGAAATACCTATGGGACGAATGAATCTGATCAATATATCGATTAATCACAGATTTATCACATTATCGTTTGATAGCTTTTTTTAAATTGTTTGATAGTTTTTTTAAAGGCAAAAAGTGGTACGAAATTTTACTGTTATTTTAAAGAGAAGATTTAGTAGATCGTGGTGGTAATGTGTACAAAAACAAATCACCTCAGTTCACCTGGGATCTTCATGTAACGGTACAGAGCTCGTCCTTCATGAGCAAAACGTCAGAGGGTCACTTGTTTCTATAATTATGCCAAATTCATAGGTTATGACTTTTAGTATTAGAAGAAGCGCCTGTTACCTGGTGAAATCCTTAGTTACTATGTCATAAAAAATGGTTATTGTAACTAGCTTTATTTTTATTTTTCTACCATATAGAAATGTAAGCACCAGTATTAAAAAGTAATTCTAGGCACATAATTTTCCTTTACAATTTAAATTTGGTATATGCTAATGTATTTTCATTTCTTTCCTTAAAAAATCCTGCTTATTGAGGAATTATTGGCTTCCTCTTCTTTTGAAAATAATTTTTAGCGAGTTTTCTGATATGAATAAATCAATCAACGTTGCCGACCCTAACAGAACGTGTTATTATTTCTAAGCTGTGTGGCAGTGCATTCTGACAGTCTTTCTTCTTTGCAGGAATATATTGCTAAGAATTTCTGTGTCATGCAGTCCCAGATTGGCTATGATATTTTGGCAGAAGATACCATCACAGCTTTGTTGCACAACAACAGAAAACTACTAGAGAAACACATCACAGCAAAAGAAATAGAAACATTTGTTAGTTTGCTCAGGAGAAACCGCGAGCCAAGGTTGGAAGTGGTTCTTGCAGCGTTTTTTTCTTGTGGGGATTGTGACGTTTTGCTTTATTTTTAGAACTTTTTTTTTAAAAGTTAGGATTCTTCCATGGACAAGCGATGTTGGGCATATGGCTGTAGTAATTTCATATCATAAAGAATTCTTAACTTAGAGGAGAGCAAAACCCTTTATAAACAGATTTAAATGTAGTTGGCTTTTCACTCTGATAACTTAGGTTTTTCTAGTACTCTGTCGGTTTTCAAAATACATTCATGTACGTTGTTTTGTTTAAATCCTCGCACGTTCTCATGAACTGCACTGCTCGTGTAATATTATCCAGGTTTAGAGATGAGAAAGCAGAAGCCTGGAGGCTGACTTGCCCAAGAATATCTCAGTAGTCAGGGATACAAGAGGAGGTAAATGAAGGGTTTCTGACTCCAGGTCACGTTCCCTTTCTCTTGCATCATGCTGCCTGATCTGGGAGAAACGGAGGCAGAAAAGTCAAGCAGATGGACAAAGCTTTCTTAACTCACACAGCAAATAAGCGTTAGAAGGTAGTACAGGGCCGTGGACTTGACCAGGCCACAGTCACTCGGGGTCAGCGTGTGCTGTACATCTGTTTTACTCAGTACGACATTGGCTTTGATCTGCCTCTGTTTTGCTGTTCAGTTCGGGGGTGGTCTCCCTTCAGGATAGATACATGATTTTCCAAACACAACAAGTCACAGCGCTGTGGGACGAGCATCAGAAATAAATAGAAGCAAACGTGTCATTTTCGAAAACAAGATTTGGTCTAAACACAAATCATTGGATGTTTTATTTGTTTCTAATGATGCAGCATATAAGCAACACATTAGAAAAATGTTGTATGGAAGTTAGATGAAGAATATGTCTAAAAAGCTACTTTCATTATATCCCAGAGTATATTTGAGGGGTTTTGGAGGATGCGTTTATAAGATGCTGTTTATTAATGTTCCATTTAATGTTTCCTCCCATCAGATTTTTGGATTATTTATCGGATCTGTGTGTGTCTAATACCACCGCGATCCCTGTAACTCAAGAACTCATCTGCAAATTTATGTTGAGCCCAGGCAACGCCGACATTCTCATTCAAACCAAGTAAGCCCAGATGATGGAGGCACCTTTTTTTGTGTGTGTGTGTGTGTTCATTCCTTGTAAGCATTACAGTTACTTATCATGCTTGTCAGTGAGCTGATTCTTAGTTTTATGTGTGTGTAATTTATTTCAAGGTTGGTCTCAATGCAGGGAGACAGCCCCATGGAGAGCGCCATCCTGTCAGATGACATTGAAGACGAGGAGGTCTGGCTCTACTGGATTGACAGCAACAAGGAGCCTCACGGCAAAGCTATCAGGCACCTTGCTCAAGAGGCCAAGGAAGGCACCAAAGCTGATTTGGAAGTTCTTACCTATTACAGGTGCAGTATTGTGGAGAATCGTAATCCTCAGTCTCACACATTCATTGAGAGATGACTCCCTGAAACCTGAAGCCCATTGTCTATGAAGAAGAAATTTAAGAAGTTGTGTCAGAACTAGGGTGGCTGAAATACTCAGTATTATTGAAATTATTTGCAATAAACATGCACATTTGTGTTCTCCACGTATTGCATTTGCAGTTTTCTGCTTTTTCCACTGGTTTGGAATTGCTGCGTGGCAAAGGGTTGTTTCCTTCTACTGCCTAGGGTGGGTGTAGGTGAGAGACACGTTGGGACCGAGGTAGTCCAGTTGCGAGGGAGGTGGAACTGGGGTTGGGGATGCTGCTCCGGCTGTCGAGGTGGCTTCAGAGAAAGTTGGCCAGTAGTTATGCAAATATTGCTTGTAATTGCAAGCAACTATGTGAAGACCTAGGGCTTCAGAGAAACATGTCTGTGGTTGTGAAGGTCAGCGGTGGCGCATGGCAGCGAAGTAACTGGTCAGCAGATTGGGAGCAAGAAGCTAGCTGGTGTTTTCAAGTCTAAGGCATGGACACCCAAGGCAGAAGCCCTCGGGCCAGGCGGGACCCACGTGACAGGAATCTTGAGAAAAGCAGAGAATTCTCTGTGTTCCCACAAGGTTTTTACAGCTACAGCTGCAAAGCCAACGGCCACTTCTTGATCTCAGGGGCTGATGAATCCAGGGGTACTGACGCCATTTGGATTGACCATGTTTGGTTTGGGAACCGAGGGGGTCTCTACTTGGAGTGCAGATTCCAGAGCCTGGAGTGGAGTGAGACTGGGCAAGGCAGAGAGAGATGGCTTTAGGTGAGCTCTTGTCCATAGCCTTCAGGCTTCGTGTATTTGTAATCCTAGGAAGCCGAGAACTGAGAGCCTAATGACACTCTCCACCAGACACATGTTGCTGGAACAAGTAAGAAAAGTTGCAACTGAATGAGCATAGAGATGACTCCATTTATGTGTTGTCATCTGCTCACTTAAGCCAGTACGCAAAGGGTTGACTACAGCATCACATACGTTCGGAAATACTGGTGTCATAAAAGTAGATGCTGACTGATACCACAATATTTACAGCCTTTATCCAGAAAAGACAAATAATGTAACGTGTTTAATATTGTTAAGGTACCAGCTGAACCTCTTCGCAAGGATGTGCTTGGATCGCCAGTATCTGGCCATAAACCAGATTTCTACGCAGCTCTCCGTTGATTTGATCCTGCGGTGTATGTCAGACGAGAGCCTGCCCTTTGAGCTCCGAGCATCTTTTTGTCGCCTCATGCTCCACATGCATGTTGACCGGGACCCCCAGGAGTCCGTGGTCCCTGTTCGCTACGCCAGGCTCTGGACGGAAATCCCCACAAAGATCACGATTCATGAGTACGTTTGGAAAAATTTCTCGAGGACTTCAAATTTGGCAGATGAACTCAAAATTGAATGTCTTCAATTCTGAAGTGAAATACAGGGAAAGGCATTGCTGTGTTCACACTCGGGTTGTTAATCTTCCAAATGCAAATAAGATCCTATTTTTGGAAAGTAAAATGATAACTCTTGAAAATAGAAACGTTATTCTGAAAACCAATCAACAGAAATCATATTAATGATGGGGTAACAATTTGGTAAGCCTTTAATATGGTGGACTCTGATTTAAGTTCTTTACATATCTTAACTCATTTCAAAACAGCCGCACTTTACAGATGAGGACACAGCACCTAGAAAGGTTAATTAATTTACCCAAGCTTGGAAGTCAGGAGGTTAAAGTATATATGTGTTTTCCTATTTTTAAGTGATTACAATCAATTTAACTTGCTTTAAACTCTTTCTGTCTTCCCAGATATGATTCAATAACAGACTCTTCCAGAAATGATATGAAGAGGAAATTTGCACTGACCATGGAATTTGTTGAAGAATACTTGAAAGAGGTTGTAAATCAGCCTTTTCCGTTTGGAGATAAAGAAAAAAACAAACTGACATTTGAGGTAATTTTTACAATTAATTCATGCGGTTATTCAATTTTCCCCTGTCTAAAATTAGATACATTGAACACCAAAGATTTTTTTCTTAAGACTATTTAGGATGTTTTGGTAATTAGGTAGTTAAGTTCACGGAGGTGTGATTCCTTATGCCATTGATTAAAAGATACATTTAATGCTTTAATTATACCACAAAATACTTGATTTCTAATTATCTGTTACTTTTTTCTTTGATTTTTTAAAAAAGTTTCATTTATCTTGTATACTTTATTGCATTTAATAAACAAAGACAACTTGGTATATGTGTAGTATGTTCAGATACATTTTTTTCATCTTGATGAAGGTGATGCTTTTAGTCTCATTAAACTGAATTGAAATACCTCCAGTTACAATATCATTTGGGGGATATAGTGACAAAACTAAAGGGAAGATGCCATTGTATGATATCTGGTGTTTAGGTACCTACTGGTGTGTCACAGATTACATGCCAATTTAGCAGCCCAAGGCAGCAAGCATTTATTATCTCATGGTTACTGTGAGTCAGGAATCTGGGGGGGCTTATTTGTTTGGGGATTCGGGGCCAGGATCTCTCATGAGGCTGGAAGCAGACTATTGATTGAGGTGGCAGTCATCTGGAGCTAGACAGTCTGCCTCTGCTTCTGAGCTCACTTGCGTGGCTGTTGGTGGCTTTACTTCCTTGCTCCCTAGACGTCTCGTCCCCCTGCCACGTGGGCCTTTCCATTGGCTGCCGCAGTGTCCTTACGGTATGGTGCCCTGCTTCCCCCAGAGCAACCATTTGAAAAGGAGAGAGAGCCCAAGATGGAAGTTGCAATCTTCTATAACCCAGTCTTAGAAGTATCATGCCATCACTTCTGCTATGTCCTGTTGGTGACACAGACCAATCCTGGGGCGCTGTGGAAGGAGACCCTACATTGGGGTCATCTTGGAAGCTGGTTCTCACTCCTAGTATGTCCTGTAGATCCTAGAAGCCACAAAGTGACATGGGGAATGTATATTTCTAGACAAATTTCATGGATAATATCCATTTATTATTCAGTAATGTAACTATTTATTAAGTGGTATCCTACTGACTTAAATTTAAGTTAGTACTTAAATAAGAGGTAAATCATTCTAATGAAAACCTCTGTTAACTACTATGTTACAACTAAAGTCTTGTCTTCTTGCTTCCTCGCTGGCTGTTAACCAGACATCTCATCTTCTCGTCACTGGGCCTTTGATGGGGTTGATAAACTGGTCTTATTTGGATTTAATTCTAAACTTGAATCAATCAGTATTCAGTTGCTTTGGCAGGGATTTCAATTCCTATGTATTAAAGAATGAAATGCCTGCACTAACTCAGATAATAAAAAGTGAGTGTTTATTTCAGTTCCTAATGTTTTTCTTTTCCATCCTCTCACCCCTCCCCCCTTTTAAATTAAGGTGGTCCACTTGGCTCGGAATCTCATATACTTTGGATTTTACAGCTTCAGTGAATTATTAAGGCTAACGAGAACACTTCTGGCTATCCTGGATATTGTGCAGGTCCCCATGTCATCGTATTTTGAAAGATTAAGCAAATTTCAGGATGGAGGTAAGAACTTTTGAGAACAATTATAATCTTTTTGGTATTACTTTGCGGTGAGATTAAAAAAAACCCCAAATCTATAGAGAAGTGGTTGTTAATATGTTCCTGCTAACGTGTGTGTGCAAATGAGCAGTAATCCTATGCTAGGACTGAGTGACCATAGGCTGGATTTATAAACATGCTTCTCTGTTTTTTAATGAAAAGCTGTAAAAGACAACTTCATAAGATCAAGGAATTCCATCTTTAGCAGCTAATGTGATGGTCAGTCCACTAGTGAAAATATGTATTACAAAATAAAAACGTCTTAATATTTGTGATTACCATGGTATATGTCATGTGCTGGCTGTGCTTCCTAGCAGGGCTTAGAAAAATACAAATAACAGGCACACTCAGGGTCACACCGGAGAAGCAGTTGGTGCAAAGCTAGCACAGGAGATGGTATCGGAAAGTGACAAGAGAATGGGCTTTTGGGTCAGAGTGCCTGTATTCACATCCTGCCTTTACCATTTATTAGCTTAGGCAAGGCAGTTATCTTCTCTAAGAGTTCCTTTTCTCATCTAAGATATGATGATGATGGTAATAGTATTTTCCTCACAGTTTCCGTATGAGAAGTAAGTGAATATCTACAGCATATTCAAAGCACTTATAACAGTGCTGGTCTCATAACTCAATAAAAATTTTTGTTAGAAGATGATTGTCTTAGGTTGGATGCCCTGAGAATACCCTGTGGTATCGAATTATTTGCAGAATGTGTATGGAAGTGTGCATTTAGGATATGCATCTGTAAGGAAGTGAGGAAGGCAGGATGGGGCGGGCAGAGAAGCTGACCCATGGTGCAGGTGCAGCTGAGGTCTTCGCTGATCCTTTAGAGAGTTCTGGAGCTGGGATGGCCTTTCAGAGTTGCCACGAATTAAGGCAAGGGGACTGAGCTTTGTATCTTTGCAGTAGCCAGTTTTGACTACTGGCTTCATCATTGACGGTTTATGGAGCCTTGGGTAAGGCAGGTTCCCTTGGCCAAGGGTCACTCTTAGTGAGAAGGCAGCAGCAACTGAGGAAGTAGATGCCTCACTTCTGAAGAGGTGATATGCGTGTATCCACTACAGGATTGAACAAGGAAAGCCAGAAGTCTAATTTCAGGCATAAGGAGGGAATATCTGGCTAAAAATGATAACCAAAAGGTAGCTGAGATAAGACATTGTTGCTGCTCTAAATCTCAGTTCCCTCTGCCTCTTCCAAAAATCCATACAGAGCAATAGGAAGCAAATTAACCCCCACAAACCTCTCACCTTCAGCAGAACTAGAAGACAGAGGACAGTACAAACTTCAGTTAGTCTAAGTGGAAAAGTAACATTAGTGGTGCTGTCTTGCAAATTCCCTCTGCTAGCCTTTCTGGACAGTTAGTGGGTTCTGGAAAAGCCATGTGGAAGAGACAAGAAGAGACTGTGTGAAAACCACCACTTAGACAAGGAGAATCCAGGTAGGTAAGAGTGCGGAGTAAAAGGGACGGAACTTGAAAGTACCCAGGTGGTAGCCGTGGGGAGGCAGTGCTTCGAGGGGTGAACAAGGTTAGAAGCAGGCAAGAGGCACCCTTTGGCGTCTTGCTGGTGGAGAGAAAAAGAAGCAAGGTGGGGAAATCTAGACTACCACGAGAGAAAGGAAAACAAATAAAAAAGAAAACATAGCTCCTCCTCCACTGCCCCCCAACAAAAGCCGAACTTTAAAGAAACTGCACTTCACAACTCGAACAGGAGAGGGTGCTCTTGAACCAAAGATCGTGTAAACCAGCTCCTATTGTCCCCTTGTCCATGAAAGGCAGAGCTGTAATCAGTCTTCATCCAGACGAAAGGATACAATACAAGATCAAAACAGAAGGGAGAATCACAACATGTCAGCTGATGGGAATTTTTCTCTGAAAAGCAACCAGGGAAGAGAAGAAAATTGTAACATGATACTCCCAAGCAGAATTAAATATCTTCAAATATGAAGACATGAACGTATGAAAAAACACCTTGAATCATACATCCAAGAACTAAGGTTAGAGACGGACCCAAAAAATCAGTAAGGAATGAAATGAAAGTTGATTGGACTCAAGAAATAAATAAACTGAAACAGTGAACTTTATTATTCTTTTTAGAAATAACAGACTAAATTACAGGCTATCAAACGGAGAATAGATTTGAATGAAAGTGTAGTAAACACCCCTGAAGGGAGGCAGGAGAACAATGATGAGAATGGGAAGGATTTAAAGAAACAAGTAAAAAAAGTCAGAGAGAAAGTAGCTGAAACGGAAGAGAGGCAAAGAAGAGTCATCGAATGAATAATTGGAGTCCCTGAAAACAAAGCAGTGAAACCAAAAGAAGGAAAACGAAGCAGTGGAACAGAACGGAGATTTAAAACTCCAATCCAAGAAAACATTCTGGAAATAAAAGATAACCTGAATTCTACCTGGTGAAGTTGTGCAGAATGGTAATCTTCAAGACTTAAGACACAGCCTAATGAAACTCTTACATACAGATACACAGTACATAGCGATATATATTCAGAGAGAGTATTGAAGGGGACAGGGAGGAACTATGGAAACAAGTGGAGAAAAAAGGAAAGGAAAGATGCTTCCTGGCATGATGCTTTTACAATATCCAGTTTCCTTTACATCAAACCACCCTTTAAAAGTTGGAAATTGATCTTAACTTTTGGTCTTGGTGCTTATGATCTGCTTTCAGCATTTTTACCCCAAAGAGAAGTATTTTATTCCCCTGAAAATTTGCTAGTATCTTGTACGTACGCTCCACTGTCCTATGCATGTCTTCCCTCTGAGACACATTTTTTTTTAACTCTTTTCAGTATTTTATAATTCTCATGTTTTCTCATGAGCTCCATTCACCTCTGGTTACCTTGATTATTCTTTCAGTTATCTGAGAACCATTAATCAAATTATCCAATAAGAAATTATTGAACAACTGTTTCATGCCAGACACTATTTTTTTTTTTAACAATATAACATTTTTTATTGATTTATAATCATTTTACAATGTTGTGATGCCAGACACTATTCTAGTCACTGGGATAAGTGATGAACAACATTAAATCCTTAGCCACAGGGAGGACAGACAATAAATAAATAAATAAATACATAGGCAGAATGCCTCCCCACCCCCATTGGGGGAGATAGTCAGATAATAAGCAAATGAATGACAATGTGACATCGGATAATGCTATGGAGAAAAGTCAAGTAGGACAATATGGAGTGTGATGGAGTAAGGGAAGGGCAGTGATTTTTAGCTGGAGTGGATGGGGCCACCTCTCTGACACCTGAGCTGAGACCTGCATGCATCGAGGAAGACAGCCTCGAGGCAGAATAAGCTTGACCTGTGTGAAGGGCAGCAGGAAGGCCATTCTGGCCCAGGAAGAGTGAGGGAAGGGAGCACAGCAGGAGAGAAGGTCAGAGAAGCCCAGACTGTGGAGACTTGCAGGCCTTTGACCTTGAACTTTTTGTATATGTGTATATCTACTATTTAATTGAAGTACAGTCCGTTCACAATGTTGTGTCAGTTTCTGGTGGACAGCACAGTGCTTCAGTCATCCATGATGTGTTCGTTTCATATTCTTTTCGCCATAAGTTGCTGCAAGATATTCAATATAGATCCCTGTGCTGTACAGTATGAACTTGTAGTTTATCGGATTTTGTGAGAATCCTCTCATATTTTGAAGTGAGAGACCCTCTGCCAGAGTTCAGTAGGTGTTCTGTGCGATTCAGTGGGTCTGCAGATGTAATTCTTGGTGTATCTGTGGGAAAGGGCGAGCTGTGAAGTCTCTCTACTCCACCATCTTGGCACCTCCCTAAATTTGAATTGTATCCTGTGTTTGATGGGCAGCTTCAGAGGGATTTGAGAAGGGACTGATAGGATTTGATCATGTTGACTGGACAGTGGAGAGAAGCTGTGTGGACACAAGGGCTAGAACGACCACAGCAGCGAGGCTGATGCAGAACTGGATGGTGGTGTTGGACTGTGTCATAGTGGTAGAGGTGGTGAGAAGTGGATGGATTTGGAATGGTTCAGTCCGGACTGATAGGACTTGGGTGTGGAATGGGAAGGAAAGGAGAGTCAAAGATTATTCCTGGCTTTTGAAAGCCCTTGTTTATTGAGATGAGAAAGATTGGTGGATCCGCGGGGTTGGAGGGACAATTGACTTCTCTTTGGGCACATCAGGTTTGAAATGCCCATTGGTCACCCGAGGTGGGGGGGAACGTTATGACAGCTGGACATGTGAGTGAACTTAGGGTGTTGTCAGGGTGGGAAATATGAATGTGAGAATGAGTACGTGGGAGACTTTCAAGGTTACCAGACTGAATGCGATCACCACAGCAGTGATTATTGATTGGGAAGAAATGATGTCTAAAGATGGAATCCTGGAAGCTCCAATATTGAACTATGAGATGGGGACGAGCCAGCAAAAGAGACTGGAACAGAACGGAGTGCTTGTGGGTAAAGAGGAAGAAAGGATGTCCTGGAGGCCAAATGAAAAGTAATTTTAATCATTTGTTGGCTTATATAAATAAATATGCTTCCTCGGTAGCTACTATTCACTGAGTGCTTGATGTGTTCAGTGGTTTTACGTGGATTCCCTTCCATGTAGTGTGGCCTGTGCTTGACCCTGACACTCAGTTTTACTCCATTAGTGAAATATGAAACACCATAGTTCTATTCCAGTATAAAAAGTAGCACATGAGAGGTGTCATCAGCCAATTTGAATTTTCTAAGAAACTTCTTGCTGTGTGGATAGAAGATACCTAGATGTGTTCTACATGAACCTTCCCTTCCATTGGAGACCAGTATGGCGTGGAGAGTGGTGGCTCTTCATTTGGGGAAGTGCACTTTCCTAATTTGTTGCAAGGGTTTTGTGGACTTTGGTTAGATTTTTGGAATCTGGAAGAATATTTTCATCTCCCTATTTGGTAGTAAATATCCTTGAAATCTGTTATTCTGGTTCTTGGTGTACTGAAATTA